CAAAAAAAAATTGTTAAAAAATAGTACAACAGTTATGAAAGATTTGAAGGCAAATAACTCAAAATTTTATAACTACAAATGAAATTTCTTTTGCACATTTTATTTAACGGACAGTAGCACCGAGTAGCCGTAAACTTATATGCAAGCAAAAAGTGCTAAAATTTTCCAATCTATAACGTTAAACAATAGTTAAATTGCGAGTTAAAGAATTTTTTCTTCACCACTACCCATGTTTGACTCGAACAAATTCTTTTTTTGAGAGATATATCATTCCGTCTCTTTCTCTTATCTATTGTTGTACTACGAAAGTCCAATTTAATTGAGCAGCTATTATTAAAAAAACAGTATAATGCAACTGTACCTTGTACAATTTTTGTATTCTTATAATTAATTTGATTTTAGTTGTTCTTGTTATTACATTTACTTTGTACACGTATAATATATTACCGATTGATATATATATATATATATACACATATATTTATACCGTAAACACGTATAGGTATACATACATGCACTACACATTTACATATATACGTGCATCACCTTCAAAGGTAAATATAAATATATGTACCCGAAGGAGAAGAAAAAGAAAAGGAGAATTGTCGTGAGCGAAGCGCCGAAAAGTGCGCGTCATCCCCCACACACCGAGGGCTATCTTTTTCTCTCTCTTTCTCCCGCCAACCCCATAACTGGTGCGAAAACTATACGGCCGGCAGACCCTATGCAGTCAGGTACGGTGGACCCTCTTATTCTTCAGTGGCTCTTCTCTCCGACTTCTCCTTTATTCACTTCTTTATTTTTACTTCTCCCTGCATTTGTGCTTACGCGTATACATATGCATATACATTATATACATACGACACACATATACTCGCTCGTATCGAGAAGGCGTTTTACCCCCTATGTATATGTCTACTTCGTCCACGTCTTCTGCATAATGCATGAACGCGCCCGAGCAAGCTTTAGCCGTCGTTAAAGTTGGCCGAAAGAGACAGAAGCCATAGCGAGAGGGAGAAACAGAGAGAAAGAGAAGGATTGGTAAATGATGAGAAGGACATTGTATATGGGATGTGCATAAGATGACCAAAGAAGGATGACTGTGTTCGATATTTTGAATTGTAAATCTGTATGGAAAAGGCAATGAAAAATGCGATTCGAAGGCTTCCGTGTGGTAGCACTCTTCCAAAGCAGGAATTTTTTTTCAACGTACGAGTGGTGGTTGAATTTTTGGATGCGATCGTAGGCCAGACGGAGGATACGAAAAAGTATGGATTACTGGTTTTTGTGGGTGGAAGCAAGCCTCTGAGTGATTTATATATATATTTTTTTACACTCAACAAGCATAATATCATTGGGCGAAAATCATAAGCCGTGAGTTCATTTTTTAAATTAACTATTTGTAAAACGAAGAAAAACGATTTTTCAAAATTTATCTTCATGTCTCTTTTCCTCGTCGATAGTCATCTGGACCAAACAATAAGACTCACCTTAGGTTGCAAATATTCCTTCTATACACCGAAGCTAAACTTCCTTGTGTTTTTCATTTTAAAAGCATCCATTTGTTGTGCATGTATTGCCCTGATAATATACACAACATTTAAAATGTTAAAAAAAAAAAATGG